AGTATTTGAGAATATAATTCATGTGGGACAGGTGATTTGAAATCATTAAGAGAAATATCCTTATTATCTCCCTGATTATGTTCCCCAGGCTGTGTTTGAGGCCATCCTACTACTACTACTTTTTAACTTGACATGTAAGATTCTTAATATTTTGGTCCCGTTTGAACTTTCAGAGCCATTTTACATGATTCCCCTCCATTTTATAATTAAAGACAAACTGGATTACTTGCCACTCCCATGTTTATTGAATGACTAAACTCAGATGTCATGTACTTTGTCGTCAAATTTATTTACAAGGAAAAAAAGAACTAATACAATGTAACACTATAATTTCCCAGCATTGCTGTCCATAAAGTGATGTACCAGGACCTTTTAGAGAAAAAAGTAGGAAATAAGTATATGAAAAATGTCACCTCAGTCTTTTGAGACAAACAACTAAACTTAAGAAAGAAAAGAAACCTGTCTTAGAGTTTCTTTGTATTGTCACTCAAAGAATAAGTTGCAGAGTTTGGTATATAGAGACTTTCTGGCTTCTTAGAGGGACCTCTTACCACTGAGTTTTTGAAAATAGTTACTTCAGTCTAAATTAAAACCTTGCAGTGAAGATTTTGAATTTGCTGTAGTTGCTGGACTTTTTTTTTTTAGACAATGAAGGCAGGATACATTTAAATAAACAAAACATCATAAAATCATATTTTCTGACACTAAGTTTAATGTACTAATCAATAGATTTTATGATAATATTTTAAAATGCTTTCTAATAACTGCAAATTTCCTTCTCAGGAAAATATTATGTATGGGGGATTTGGCTACTTCATTTAGTAAAACTATCAGCATTTGGATGATTAAGAAAAAAGCATTTAGTTTTTTTTCAAAATGAAGTCATATTGCAAAAGCACTTCCAGTGATAATTTACTGCATTTTTAAAAAGTTATTTTCTCTTCAAGACACTGAAGGCAATGTAATAAATAGTTTACTAGTTATATAAAATATTTCTTAGTATAGGAGTTATAACATGGAAGAATTTCATTTCAACAAGCTATCAGTCAATTAGTAGACATTTATTAAACACCTCCTTTGATATCCACCTTCACCTAACTCTCACCTGTGGCTCCAAGAATCTGAGGCATGCACAATGGCCACACCTGGGTTAACTGTCTCAGCAGATGAGCTAAATCATATTGAGGGTAACCAGAGGCTCCCAAAGCTGAAGGTGAATTTGGGGGATGTCCACCTCAGGCATGTGAAGAATTTTCCAGGCAAAATGGACAGATAGATGAGAACAGTTTATTCCAAAAGCCTTCTGAAAGTGGGTGAAGAAGGTGCTATGTAATGCTTAGAACTTAGTCAGACATCAAAGATACCTGGGCCATTGCCAGTTTCTGGCTTTTCTCCAGCCTGAATTCCAATGACTTAGGAAGACAGCAGATGACTTTGTATAACTCTACCTCACTGAAATCCAATTCATGTACAAGTGAAGACATCGCCCCCTGATGTCATTGGTCCTTTTTGAAAACAAAGGATGAACAACAACTGTCCTAAGTTCTACAGATATGAAGACAAATGAAACAGTCCTTGCCATCAAGGACCATCAATGATTCCTTTAGAAGAGATACCATGAATATAAGTTATTAAATAAGTATATGCAAAATATATACATAGTAAATACAAGATAAAATTTGTGGAGTTGGGAGATGGAGTATTATATTCCAAGAAGGCTTATTTGACTGTACTATAGAGTATACTAAGCTTAGGGAAGCAGGCTGAGGCTAGGTTGTGAAATACCTTAATAGTTAACCAGAAAATCTTATATTTTGTTCAAATAAAAGCTCTTTGCTTGGTCATGAACATGATCATAACCTACACTTAAGAAAACACCTTGGATGATTTGTGGCTAATGGAATGGACTAGTGAGACTTGAGGAATACTTGAGTAAGCTTATCTAGGGAAGAATTGCTAAGGGCTTGATGTGAATAAAGAACTGGAGATAACTGTAAGAGATACCATGCAGGTAGAAGTGATAGATTTTGAAGTCACTATAGCTGTTGGACTTTTTTTTAAGCAAAGGCAAGAAACATTTTAGCAAACCATACTAAAGCCATGTTTTCTGATTATGTTATTGAGTTTAATATATATAGTATGTATATAGTATAGCACATTAGTATGCTAATAAAATAACATGGTATAGTAGTATATAGATTTTTATGAAAATAATTTAAAATGCTTTATAGAAGTTGCAAGTTTTATTGTCAAGAAAATGTTATGTGTGGGGAATTTGGGTATTTCATTTGGTAAGACTATCAACATTTGGATGATTAAGAGAAAAGTTTTTTAAGTTTTCAAAATGGACAGTAATATTGCAAAGGCAATTCTAATGATAATTTGCTGCATTTAAAAATAATTTTTTATTTAAGATTTAGTGATAGACTAGATATTTGGGTTGAAGGAGAGTGAGGGGTCAAAGATGATGCTAGGGGTTGCAAACATAGGTGATTGGAAGGACTCAACAGAGATAGGTAAGTTCATAATTAGAATATGTTCAGGGGATTCAGAGTTCAGTTGAATTCATGTTGAGATTGTGATGCCCTTGGGACTTGTAATTTGAAATAAACAGAAGATAGAAATGCATAATGGGCTCACAAGAGAGAATTGCTATGGGTGTAGATCTAGTAGTAATTTGTATAAGGACAATCATTAAATTCATGAGAGCTGATGAAGTCACCAGGTGGAAGAGTATAGGAATATTTAAAGGGTGCTCATGATATGGCTGTGGCTTAGACTCATAGTTAGGGAGCATGAAATAGAATGTGAATCAGTAAGGACAATTAAGAAGGAATAGTCAGACAGGGAGGAGCAGAACCAAGAAAAAGCAATGTCAGGAAAATCCATGGAATAGAGAAGTCAAAAGTGCTAAATATTTCAGAGAGGTCAGAAAGGATTGAGAAGAAAACCACAGCATTGGCTCTTAAGAGATCATTGGCAACTTTGAAGAGAACTGTTTCAGTTGAACTATGATTTTGAAGATTGTAAATGGTTGAGAAGTTAGTGAGAAAAGAGAAAATCTAAGCAACTGTAAATAGCTTTTTCTAGATGTTTGGATGCAAAAGGGAACAAAGTGATAGGATGATAGTTCGAGAGGAATGATAGTCTAGTCAGGTGTTTTTCAGGATGTGAGTTGGTAATTAGCAAAGAAAGAACCAGAAAGATATTCTAGATTATAGAGAATGATTTATTGTGGAATAGGTACAGATATGTATGTATGCACGTATGTACGTATGTTTGTATGTATATGCAAATGTGCATGTATATGTATATGTATGTGTGTATGTGTATATATGTATGTGTATATGTATAGATATATGTATGTGTGTGTATGTATGTATATACAGAGAGAGAGAGGAGAGAGAGAGAGAGAGAGAGAGAGAGAGAGAGAGAGAGAGATTAATTATCCTTGCTCAGTAAGAGGGTCACTTTTTTGTTAGAGGTTGGGAAAAAAAGAAATAAGTTTGAGGAGTAAACGTAGAAAAGGGCGCAATAAGGAGATTATGAGCAGTGTGTTTGTTTTCTTAGTGGATGTATGAGGTGAGCTCCTCATTTGAGGGAGAGAAGGAATGGTTTGCGAATCTTGAGAAGGGAAGAGAAAGCCTGGAATTTGCCTCTGGGGAATGGAATAGAGAAACAATTTAGGTAGGAGTAAAAGATTTCTTTACTATAATGTGGGCCCAGTTGAAGCTAAACAATATGAATTTGTAATGTACCTGAGTCAATCCATTTGCATGATTTCCTCTAGCTTCATTCCTTCTTTAAGTATCAATTAAGTAGGGATAAAGGATGAAAACAGTGTGTTTTTCATCCTAATCATTTTTTATTAGCTAATTTTTCCTAATAATTTTCTGTAGAAAAAGTTTTAAAGTTAGATGCATTTGATATGAGAAAGTGTCATAAAACAATTAATATGGTGTATTTTCAGTGGAAATAAATGCAGATTGATACTGTTTCCTTAAATTTTATCCCTTTAATCTGTTTTTCATCTTGGTAAGATTCATTTAAGGTAATGTATTTTTAGCAGAATAAATATTTTAACATTTTCTTTTATTAAATTTTCTGATTCTGAAATAATGTGATTTTTGGAAAGAGTAAAACATTCTTTATAAACTCATTTATGTCATACTTTTATTGCCAAATTTGTCATGGTAAGCTAAATTCATATTCTATGTTGAGTATTGATAAATTCAAATAAAACATTGCTTCACAATTGTAGACTGATTTTCAAATATTTGAGGATGAATTTATTCTAAATATGCTGTTTTTTGTGTATAACTTTTATCTCTGTATTGACTCCCTTAAAAGTCTAAAGATAAACATCTACATAGAAAGAAAATAAGATGCATTTAATCATATTTAGCCTTGGCTTTGAAGAATGTTGACTAAAAATTTATTACTAATTTTCTGGGGGTTTGTTTATTTGTTTGGAATTTAAAATAGTGCTATACAGAAGCACAGATTAAAATTAATTCCCAGAAAAGTGATTGATGTAAACATAAATGTGTACTGTGATTGTACAGATGATGGATCTAATCAAGATATACCATGCTATATGAAAAATCTTATTTGCACAAGCATATTTTGGATTAAAAACAATATGATTTTACTTTGTTAAATCAAGTTATTGCCTATATTATGGTACTTTATGTTCATCTTTAAAATTTCTTTGATAAGCATCATCGAATACAACTAAGTGATTAAGAAAACTTGGCATGCAATAGAAATATTGAATAAAAATCTAATTAATATAGTAAATTATGCAACTAATTTGATGAGACTGATATAGTTTAAATAGCTGCCTAGAACAGAATGTTATATTCATTCATTAATTTATCAATGTATTTATTGAGTCTCAGATCACATCAAATGTTTTAAGTAATGTTTATGTTATCTTCTTAATTGCCATATAAATTTTCAATTCTTTCTATATACATATTTTAAATATTTTTTTTCAGCTACCTTCCATGGTTTGAGGTGTACTACAAGCTTTTAAATACTTTGGCAGATTATTTGGCTAAGGAACTGGTAAGCAATCCTTTTTTTTGGGGGGGATGTTTAAAATAAAGTTTTATATTCAAAATGATTCAGTAACAACAGCATTGACTGTTCCATTTGGATGGAGAAGGGAGAAAATTTCTCCTTTTCACTGTCATTTCTAGTAAGTGAGAATTTGTAGATAAATTTTATTGACTCAGGGTTAGTCCATTACTGCTTTACACCTTTGTCCCTTAAGTTGAAAGGAAACTGCTTGCAGCATTTAATTAAAATAATAAATCAACGAAATTCATATTTTCATGAGTAGTGCATTATTTTCCAGAATAACGAAGCAAAAGATTTACTTGGTCTTTATCTCATTAGTTTTAATATTGTCCATTTATTTGTTAGTTGTAGAATAAAAAAGACAATGACCAGCCAGATCTTTTCAGATTAAAATGCCTGAAGATGATAGGAGAATCTTTACATTTGGTAAAATGTAAAACTTTTGGTGGGATATTCCGACATAGACCAGTTTAATTATTGTGATTAAGTTGCTACATATGCCTGGAGAATAAATAATTGGATGTTTTTCTCAATTAATTTGTTCTTTTTCATAGAGGCACAGAGTGGTTGCTTTTATTTGTTTTGCCTTGTTTAGATTCTTAAACTTAAGATCTTCTATTCTGAAATGTTGAGCTTTTAAACTATTGTCATTTGAATGGTAAATGACAACTTTTGTACCATCAAACTAACTACCTTTACAGTTTTCCAGTTTTTATCAGTGAGAAGTTGGTTTCAAAAGTGTACTATTAGAATTTTTCTAGGTTTATAGCTTCTTTTCCAAGTATAGATTTTTCCCCAATGAAGTTTTTTCCAATGTTTATGTAAACTTGAACAAACTACCACATCTATCTTAATAATTTCTTCCCCTCCTTTCCACTCTCTCATAATGACAGCAATAATCATAATTTTGAGTTATCGGAAGTAAATTTCACTAAACTAAAAAAAGATGGCAAGTATTTCTTTTATAGGATTTGATTTTAGATGGAGCTATTGACTATTTCTCTTTTCAAAGGCATTTGACTCAAAATGAGGGTCTGAAGTTACTTGAAAAATATTGGAAAAGTTGGGTGTGGTGGTGATGCATGCTTGAAATCCCAGGTGCCTGGGAGGCTAAGGCTAGTAGATTACTTAAGCACTAGTGCTCAGAGCTGTAGTAGGCTTTGTCAATCAGGTGTCCTCACTGTTATGATATCAGTGTGGTGAGTCTCTGGGGAGGCGACCAGATGGCCGATTGAAGGGTAAACTGGTTCACATTGTAAGAAGCAGGTCAGAGCTTCTGTGCTGATCAGTAGTGATACCCCCTACTCATAAATGAGTCCCTGTAATTCTAGTGAGTTCCAGAAACCCAATCTTAAAAATAAATAAATAAGTAAATAAAATATCTGGCTTATTCCCTGCCCCTGTCCCACAATTTTAAATAATATATAGAATAAGGCAGTAAGATAAATTATAATAATTATGTTCTAGGACTCCTGTTCTCCCATTTAATAATTTAAGGAATCATACAAATGGTTATGTGCATTTTAGAGGACAAAACTACTTGAGAGATTGATTTATAGAAATCCATAAATATATAAAATAGTTAAACAGAAAAAAATCTTTAGATAATGATATTATGAAAGAATGCCTGTGTTTTGGCACTAATAATTTCCAAGGGGGAATTTTGCAGAGTGCGTGTTATTGTTATTGTTCAGTCATGTCTGATTCTTCATGACCCTTCGTGATCTTGGCAAAGATATTGAAATAGTTTGCCATTTCTTTCTCCAATGGATTAAGGCAAATAGAGATTAAGTGACTTACTCAAGATCACACGGCTAGACACCAGATTTGAACTCAGGTCTTTCTGACTCTCGGCCCAGTGCTTTCTGTGCACTGAGTCACCCAGCTGCCTTCAGAGTTCATAACAATAGATAAACCAAAAGTCATCTCTATTTGACTTTTATTTGCTTATTGTTTTGAATAATAGTAATATAATTAAATTAATGTTAAAGTTAGTTTGAATCCTCTTATCACAAATTAACTGCAAATATGGATTTCCAAAGCATGTCGAGTAACCGACCTGAAATTTAAAATTTCCCATGAAGAATTACTGATTGCATAATTCCCTCACTGATAATTGAGAGATGACAATATTTGGCTCTTTTTATCTAGGATTTAGTGGCCATTGTATTGGCTATGTGACATGCAAAAATCACTTTACCTCCCTCAGTTCTCTGAACAACACTGAAACTCTGAAGTTGTAGAGAAGGTGCCCACTTACATTGTTCCAGAGAATTTCCTCACCTGGAAGTTTACCATACTAGTTAAATCACCGGGCTAGTCCTTCTCCTCTACCACTTAGTTGAATTATAGTTTTCAAAATTAAGGTCACAAGTTTACTGAATGAAATCAAGAAGAAAGGAATAAAATACTTAATAATGACCCCAAATTTACTAGTCAAATAACTTAAGGTTAAAATACTTAAGTACATACTGGAATTGTATATACAGTACACTGTTAAAAAAATTTCATCTACAAATTTTTATGCTTATGTTCCAGTCATTTACATTACAAAGAAAATCCTCAGAAATAATATGTCAATAGCTGTAATGAATGTTTTAGGAAACATAGAAGTGGAGGTTAGAATTATATTTCTTTGATTATTTCATAAAGTTTATTTTTGTTTATCTACATATAGAATTAGAATTATTCATATAAATTCTGAATGATTTAATTCTATTCCTTATTTCATATTTACAAATTAATAGTTGTCCAAATATCATATGTCATGCTATGAGGTTGATAAATTCAATCTCTGGAATATTAAAATATTTAACAAATTTCCATTTGGTTTTATTGTTGAAGCTATACTTCCTTTTTTTTAAAGTTGTTTTTATATTCCTGAAATATATCTTATATTTCATGGTTAACAATAATATAAATTGATATTATCAAGAAAATTGGCCCTTAACTCTAGGAAAACAATTTTTTAATCATTTAAAAATGAAACAAACACCTAATTTTTCAGTGTCAGTGTGTATGCAAACAGTCATATACACAGTCATAATATCATAATCCATCATAGTGAACACAAACTTAGCAAGAAAAGTATGCAAATCATGCACTATTTTCTATAATATTCTATAAACTCATTGAATGATCAAGCATAAAATACCTTGGCTGCAAATTAACTTTTTCAGGTGTAATCAGTATCATAAATTCATAAAAGTATATGCTTCTAGAATCACCATTTAAGACCCAGTTTGGGTAAATATGGATTGTTAAAGCCAAGAGAATACACATGATCAGCTATATTCTTAGAAGTGTCACGGTATAGTAGAAACACAGGACATAGGGAATAGAGTAACTAGAGTTAAAAGGATGTGGATTAAAAGTGACAGATAAGTCACTTAACATCTCTAAGGGACAATTTTAGGATCTATAAAATGGAGATAATATCTGTGGCACTGCTTTGTAAGTTACAAATGACATAAAGTATTACAAAGTTTTTTGCACCCTAAATTGCTGTATATTAATAATAATAGAATAAGTTAACTCATCTATAAAATGTAAAAATAGTATTTTCACTGCTTAACTCCCAGGTTTTTGAAGAAACTCCTTTGTAAATATAAAGTATTAGAGAAATATGTGCAATTTTTATTATTCTAATTTCTTCAAATGCTCCTTTTGCATTCCCCCAAATGCCTAGTACAGCTCTGTCTTTTTAATTATGTAGTATCTTAGTTAAAGAAAATTTTAAAGCAAAGAATATCAAGTTAAAAAAATAAAATAAATATAAAAGTTGTGTATATTTGTTTTGTTTTATACATGTGGTATATATTTGTATTATATACATGTATTGTAATCGTATGATCTGTATACTTTGTAGTAGACATTCATAGAAAATAAAATATTATATCTTTTGTTTAGTGACTACTACATTGTGGGCTGAATATCAGACCGCAGTAGCCAGTGAAGAAGAATCCATAAAATAATTTATACTTCTTGCACATTTTAATAGAGGATGGATTTGGGTGTGGATAATCCACTCATCACATTAAAATTCTGCTGTTGTTTTAAAGAATCAACTTCTTCCTCAGAGAGGAAAATGTGATTTATGATTTATGAATACAAAACTACCTTTATCTTTTTGGAGTTATCTTCTATTACTGCTATATGCTTTTCATGGTAAAGAAAATAAAGAGATTTTGTCAGAAGAATTGTCATATTAAACAAATATTGCTACTACCATTTCCCAGAGACAAGCATTTCCACAGGTAGAGTTTATATTAATTAGAATTACAAGTTTTGTGGTTGTAAGAAAATATGCAGAGAAAATGGACATCAGAAATACTTAGGAACTCAAGATTTTTATTAAATTATATTGCTTAAAATTGGTCTTGATACGTAATTTTGTTTCAGAGATTCATTGATTTTTCAATATGATCAATTTATAAAATGGACTTATACCCTTTTTTCTCCCCTCAGGAAAATGATTTGAATGATATACTAAAATCACTATACAGCCACCCTGTACCAAAGGCAAACACTTCAGTCAGTTTGAATGTGGTAAGTATTACCTGTATTTTTTTTAAAAATTCTCATAACTGATTTTAACCTCGTTCTTTCCAAATCTTCTTAGGTCTCACTTTTCTTGAGCTAAACCCAGTAGTCACTTTATCCTTCCGTATTTTCTCAAACCATTATCTCCTTTAAAAGCTGCTGCCATTGCCTTTAGAATAAAATACAAACTCCTTGTTTTGACATTTAAGAGCCCATCATAATCTTGTTCCAGGCTCTCTTCCAGGCTGATAGCACATTATTTCCTATCACACACTCTAAGACGCAGCCAAGTTGGCCAGAGTAATGTTTACATGTCATTTCATTACCTGACTCTGTATTAACGTACAGGGTTGCACTCTTCTCCCTCCCGGTGCTGGAATTTTCTTCCTTCTCATCTTCACTACCTGGCATCCTTAGCTCTTTTCAAAGCTCAGTTCACGTTCTCTACATCTTTCAAGATACCCTTCATGATTTCCTTAGGGATTCCCATCCCTGTCCAGTCCCTATGTATTTACATTGTTTATTTACTTATTTGTAAAAATATTGTCTCCTGCTAGGGAAATATAAGTTTCTCAAAGGCCAAGGCTCATTTATCTATTTGTATCCCCAACACTTAACACTAGGCCTGGAACACATATAGTAGGTGCTTCTTAAATGCTTGTTTGATGTTTTGGAACCATAGTAGGTTCACATTAAAACTTAAAATAAAAATGTTTATTTTGATACTTTTTCTTCCTAAAAAATCTTGGTGGTCCTAAATTATTCCTACATGATAGTGCTGACAAGTTTTTCATATCCTTTAACCATCATAATTTGCTATGTGAGTTAATCTGTTTTGGTGGATGTTAAATCACATTACTGTTATTTTTGAAACATAGATTATCCAGTGGCCATTCTAGAAGCTCCTTTTGACTCTTATTTGTAAATTTGCCAGTTAGAATGAGCAAATTTGTGAGATCTGTGAGGACATTTTCTCATCTTGGAAAACTTAGCTTTATTTTAGGTCAGTGCAAAGAAAAAATAGCAAAATAAAAATTAAATTTCCTACATTTAAAACAAAGCCTTTGAATTTCACAAAGTCTGACAAAAATCAAGCTGTATGGGAATAAAGAAGTAGGATGGGGACTGGAGCTATCATTTTATTGTTATAGGAAATTCAGGTAAGGAAATTGTTTCCACCAATTCCAGTGGCATCTTCTTTGCAACTTATAGTTTTAGGTAGTTGCCTAGAGCAGGAAGGGTTAAGTAACTTGTTAAGGGTCACAGAGACAGTAAGTATCAGAGATGGCACTTGAACCTAGAGAACCTTAGAGAGGTACAGCATAATATAATGGATAGAGAGCTAACCTCAAAACCATGAAGATTTGTATTTAAATTCCACCCCTTGCACATAACTAACTCTGTGATTCTGGGCAAGTCATTGAAGCTGTCAGTGTTTAAGGCAACTCTAAAACAGAGAAAAAATGATAACTTAGCAAAGGAAGCCTGTGGTTGAGAGATTTATCTACTCTAGAAATATTGTGCGAAAACAAAGAAAGAAAAAAAGCAATATAAACTTATTTATAAAAAAAGATTTGTTGTTCTTTTCTGGGCTTATATCCAGTTGTCTAGTGAGTTTGATTTTGGTATTCTGTGATGTCTGTGATCTGTGATCTCTTGAATGTAGCCTATTTATATTCACCATGGATTTTTCCATTGTTCTTTGAGTTCTTTGTGGTTTAAATTCTTTCAAAATAATGGTGTCTCATGAATTATAGCCATAACTGTTATTTTTTTATTTCATTGTTTTTTAAAATCCTATTTTATTTTTCCTCAATTACATGTTAAAATAGTTCTTAACTTTAAAAAAATTGAGTTCTAAATTATATCACTTCATCCCTTCCTCTCCTCCTTCCTGTCTGAGACAGTGGAGTAATCTGATGTAGGTTATACATGTGCAATCATGTAAAACATTACCATATTGGTAATTTTTTTGCAAGAAGATTCAAACAAAATAAAATGAAAAAAGAAAGAAAAATAGTATATTTCAGTCTGTATTCAGACTCTGTCTCTGGAGGTGGATAGCATGTTCCATCATGAGTCTTTTTGGATTGTCTTGGATCATTGAATTGCTGAGAAAAGCTAAGTCATTCACAATTCCTACTGTTACTGTGTACAACATTTTGCTGGTTCTGCTAACTTCACTGCGTAAGTTCACATAAGTCATTGCAGGTTTTTCTCAAACCATCCTGCTTGTCATTTCTGATAGCAAATAATATTCTATCACAATCATATGCCACAACTTGTTCAACCATTTCCCAATTGATGTTCCTCCCCTCCAATTTCTAGTTCTTAGCCATCCCAAAATATTTTTGTAAAAGTAGGTCCTTTTCCCTTTTTAAAATAGTTTCTTTGGGATATAGACATAGCAGTGGTATTGCTGGATCAAAGGGTATGCACAGTTTGGTTGCTCTTTGGGCATAGTTCCAAATTACTCTCCATAACAGATCAGTTTCACAACTCCACCAACAGTGTGTTAGTGTATCAGTTTTTCTCCATCGCCTCCAACATTTATCATTTTCCTTTTTATGTCATATTAGCTGGTGTGAGGTAGTACCTCAGAGTTGTTTTAATTTACATTTCTCTAATCAATAGTGATTTAGAGCATTTTTTCATATGACTGTAGATAGCTTTCATTTCTTTGTCTGAAAACTGCCTATTCATGTCTTTTGACCATTTATCAATTGGGGAATGACTTGTCTTATAAACTTCACTCAGTTCTCTATATATTTGAGAAATAAGACCTTTAATCAAAATTATCCATTTTACATTTTGTAATGCTCTCTATATCTTATTTGTCCTAAATTCTTCCCTTATCAATAGATCTGACAGGTAAACTATTCCATGCTCTACTAATTTGCTTATGGCATCACCCTTTATGTGTAAATAATGTACCCATTTTGATTTTATCTTCGGCAGGTTAGACTATTCCATGCTGTACTCATTTGCTTGTGGCATCACCCTTTATGTGTAAATCATGTACCCATTTTTACTTTATCTTGGTGTGTAGTGTGAGATGTTGGTCTATACCTAGTTTCTGCCTTACTTGCTTTCTTGTTTTCCCAGTTTTTGTCAGATAGTGAGTTTTTGTCCCTGAAGCTTAGATCTTTGAGTTCATCATATATCAAATTACTGTGGTCATTTACTACGGCGTATTGTGTACCTGATCTATTACTGATCTGCCACTCTATTTCTTAGTCATTACCAGATTGTTTTGATAATTACCACTTTATAATACAGTTTGAGATCTGTTATAGCTAGACCACCTTCCATTGTATTTTTTTCTTTGATTCCCTCAATACTCTTGATTTTTTATTCTTCCACGTGAATTTTGTTGTTATTTTTTTCTAGCTTTACAAAATAATTTTTTGGTTGTTTGATTGGGATGGCAATGAATAAGTAAACTAGTGTAGGCAGAATTATCATTTTTATTGTATTGGCTTGGCCCAACCATGAGCAATTAATATTTTCCATGTGTTTAGATCTGACTTTATTTGTGTGAAAAGTGTTTTGTAATTTTGTTCATATAGTTCTTGGAATTGTCTTGGCAGGTAGACTCCCAAGTATTTTATTATGTCTGCAGTTATTTTAAATGGAATTTCTCTTTCTATCTCTTGTTACAGGGCTTAATTGGAAATATATAGAAATGCTGATGATTTTTATGGGATTATTTTGTATCCTGCAACTTTGCTAAATTTGTTAATTATTTCAATTAGTTTTTTAGTTGATTCTCTAGGTGTCTCTTAAGTGCACCATTGTATCATTTTCAAAGAGTGATAGTTTTGTTTCCTCATTGCCTGTTCTAATTCCTTCAATTTCTTTTTCTTCTCTTATTGTTGTAGTTAGCATTTCCAGTACAATATTGAATTGTAATGGTGATAATGGGCATCCTTACTTCACCCTGATTGTATTGGGAAGGCTACTAGCTTAACCCCATTATCGATAATGCTTGCTGATGGTTTTAGATAAATATTACTTATCATTTTAAGGTAAGCTCCATTTATTCCTATGTTTTCTAGTGCTTTAAATAGGAATGGATATTTTATTTGTCAAAGGCTTTTTATACATCTGTTGAGATAATCATGTGATTTCTGTTGGTTTCATTAATATGATTAGTTATGCTGACAGTTTTCCTAATTTCAAACCAGCCCTGTATTCCTTGTTTCACCCCACAAGGACCATATGATCCTTGTGATATATGGTTGTAATCTCTTTGCTAGCATTTTATTTAAAAATTTTGCATCAGTATTCATTAGGGAAATTGATTTATAATTTCATTTCTCTATTTTGGCTCTTGTCTAAGTATCAGCATCATATTTACATCATAAAAGGAGTTTGGTCAGATTCCTTCTTTGCCTATCTTTCCAATTAGTTTGTATTGTATTGGAATTAATTTTTCTCTAAATGTTTGTTAGAATTCACCAGTGAATCTATCTAGCCCTGTGGATTTTTTTCTTAGGAAGTTCATTAATAGCTTTTTCAATTTCTTTTTCTAAGATTGGGTTTTTTAGGGTATTCTATTTCTTCTTTTCTTAATCTGAGTAGCTTATATTTTTTGTAGATATTCATCCATTTCAGGATTATCAAATTTACTGGTATATAATTGGGCAAAATAGCTCCTAATTATTTCTTTCATTTTCTTTTCATTGGTGGTGAATTCATCCCTTTCATTTTTGATACTGTAATTTGGTTTTCTTTTTCCTTTTTTTAATCAAATTAACCAATGGTTTATCTATTTTATTGTTTTCTTCATAAAACTAGCCTCTAGCTTCATTTATTAGTTTAATGTGTTTCTTTCAGTTTTACTAATCTTTCTTTTGATTTTCAGGATTTCCATTTTGGGTGTTTAATTGGGGATTTTTAGTTTGTTCTTTTTCTATTTTTTTTTGAGTTGTATGCCCAATTAATTCATCTGCTCTTTCTTTATTTTATTGATATAAGCAATTAGAGATATGAATTTTTCCCTA